CGGGGAAATTTCGTCTTAAGGACAGAGCCAACTCGCCTCGGCTAATCTTTTCGTATTTCACTAATTAATATTGTCAACCAATTTACTAAATTCACTACCTCGTTTTATGTATCGGGACCAACAGCCGCTTCGAAATCAACCGGTCGGCTTTCTTTGTATCGTACGCAAGGAATAGTTTCTCTCTCCTGCATTTTTGGTGACAGTAAATATCTTTCTTCAGCTCTAATGTTGAGAAAATTACACAATTTATTACATTTATTTCTCCTACATATAGCTTCATTCTTTGATTTTGACAAGATTACACACAACGATAAACTCTCTATGTCTGTTGATTACACACAACGGTAACCATTACAATAAACCCCTACCAAACAGTAACAATAACGGCTATGATTATAGTTGGGGGAGGGAAGAAGACGAAACATCTTTCTTCTTATTTTCAATGGCTTATTTATATAAACTATATATCTTTTACAAATCGGTTTTATTGAATAAAGGAATATAAAAATGTAAACGAAAAAAAATTACAAACCAAATATAAACTTTTAACGTTATGTTTGATTCTTTTTATATGTGTTTTTAGTGTTAACTAGTAATTCACCCGTGCGATGCACGGGATCAATTAAAAAAAAAATATTTTGAATAAAATAAAACGAACGAAAACATTGAACAATTGACATATATGTAAATAATACCAAAAAAATATTTTATTGAATAAAAATATATTGTTTGTGTTTTACCTTCATATTCACTGAAAATCTTTTGTGCACACGACATTGCTCTAATTTTAGTTATATCGCCCGATTCAGTTAATAAATATCTTATCTCAAATCTATTTTTAACTATGGACATTGCGGCGTACAATTGCCTATGTCACCCTAATATTAACACTAATATTACACTAACAACTAACTACTACTACTAATACTAAAACCAACATTGATAATACTAATACCAATACTAATATTAACACTAAAACCAACACTAATAATAATAATATTAATACTAATCCTAATATTAATACGATGATTAATACTAATAGTCTAAGGGCTCGTTCGGTTGACGCTATAAGGTTCTACTGACTAAATAGTAGGGGCTAATAGCATGTCCAGTTGGTAAAATTCACACTTTTTCAACCCGCTACTAAATTCAAGTCTGCTATTAAATACTACTATTTCATTAAATTAGTAGCACCCCTCCCCCTGAGATTAATTAATATGGGGTGACTA